TAGTGATAAATAATAATTTATATTAAACAGTATTGAGTATTATACAAGTAAGCTGTTCAGTCGTCTATCATCTGCCACAAAGGATCGATACGGTTTAGTAAGCATGATAGCTGGATAGGATACCTATCTGTGGTGTGAATACCTTAGCTGTATTAATTGATGGAGAAATGTATCCAAATATACGTAGTGTATTTAAATTAATATTTTATTTATGTTACCAACAGTATTTGTCTCATCGGTAATGTAGTCTTGTATTTTTAGTGTTACTGTAATATTTGCCAATTAATATTTTCTTTTTAAATATAGGCGGAGTATTTAGTGAGGATAAATATTCAATATTGAGCTGTAGCTACTCCCAAAAAGCCTTACCCTTTCTACAGTCGAGTAAAATATGCCATTACTAGTAGGTATTTTTAATTATTATTAATTAGCTTCTACCAGTCACTTCGTTTGCGCAATCCCATTTTTCTCGTTCCTGTTTGTGATTTTCGGTAAAAAGTAAAAAAGTCCTATGTCCGTCTCCTGATTCTAAGCTGCCGCCCCGCCAATTTTATCTAAATCCATTTAGCGGGTCTTGAGTTATAAGTACTAACACGACTTTCTGTTACATATTATAGATTTGCTAGGATAACACGAGTTGTCTTATAATAACTTATTTTATGTATTTATATTAGTCACATAAGACATATATATATCCATCAAAAGTTCCTCAACCCTTTTTAATGGAAAACTCACGGGAGTTCAAAAAAACCATTTCATTCGAAAGACAAAACAGAGTCCTTTGTAAATAAAAATCATAATCCTTTGTCTTCCAATAAAAATAAGTCATCATTTCCTTTTTATTTTTACTTTTGTTTGAAAACCATTTTGGCCCTTAGAGACGTGATGTAAAATCCCAAAGGTCTCTGAAAATCAGTTGAAATCCCTTTGTATCCTACATATGATACATTTAATATTTGTATACATTTGGTAACAAAATAATGGACTGTATTTTTGCTACTGATTGTATTCTTTCCTCGTAAATGTTTCCCACTTTAGAATTCTCTATAGTAAGCCGGAGTTGGGAATTGTGGCCGGAGTATGATAATAAGCTCGTCCCTTATTACACAGAACTTGTACCTAACTGTGGAAAAAGATGGGATCTAACTATATTGTATTAATTTTGGCTTATACTTTTAGGGACCGATGGAAGAATTAAGTGCCAATTTATAATTCATACCTAAACAGTCATAACATAAAGTATGTGTTACATTTAACACATGTTAACGTTCGTATATACAGCACATAGCCGGCTTCTTAAGTTGAATTTAAATTATTAATTCTCTACAGAGTCTACTGCTGCCGGATTGGTCGAATTAGTAATCGCACTTTAAAAAGTTCAGGCTTCTTAGAGAGCGCTACTGTTCAGATTATATTACCTGTATAGACAATACAGAATGTATTTGTCAAATGTTACCAACTGTATTTGTTTTATCAGCAATGTGGTGGCAATTGTGGGTAAAGAGGAAGGGGTCTTGTATTTTTAGTGTGACTGTATTATTTGTAAATTAACATTTTCTTTTCAAATCTACTACACATTTACGTATCTAGCTGGGTATTCAACGGGAAAAAATATTGAGCTAAAATTGTAAGAAACTATTTCTACCACAAAAGAAGCCATTACTGGTAAGTATTTTTAATTATTATTAATGTGTTAGAATTACACGAGTTTTCTTATTATATCAACCTCAATCCTCAATCGAATTAGAAATCGCACTTTAAAATCATACTTTAAAAAAGTTCAGCCTTCTTAGAGAGCGCTACTATTCAGATTCTATTAACTATATAGTTTCTTCGAGACCCATAGGAAGTGAAGAGACAGTGACTAATATATATTGTATTCCGCCATTAAAGACACAACGAGAGTTGAAATTAACAAGGATACATATAAAGGCCAAGGCTGTACCAGTCCTGATTGTGTCATATTATAACAGAGAACCTATCCACTGCAATATGACATAATAATGTAACTATATTTGCAAACCAAGTCGTATTAGGATTGCAGAACTGCAATCCAATTATTGTATAGTTGTCACTCTCGCCACATGTTACAGTTACACGTCCAACGGTACATGATACTATGTTACACGCTATTTATTACTATGTATGTGTGTTAGAGTGGCTATATAAGTAAGCGATTTCATTACGTAATGCAATGTAATGTGGTATAAAATCCCGCAACTAAGTCTAGTCATCAAAAGATGTAGCGTGGTTAAGTCTTCCTACAGGTGGAATGACAATGTCATCACTCATTAGAGTCGAAAGAAGGTAACGCAGCATTAGACTCAATTGCCGATATGGAATAAAGGTATGGTGAGTTTTTATAATATCTAACTATCGTGAGATATATTAAATTAACAAAAAATCGCAGGTTACTCACGTGAATATACTGAGAAAACCTCTACTAGTTGCGAACCACAGAAGGGTTCTTCCTCATGAGTAGCGTGCGCGGTCGCGGCGACACAGACTAGTAGACCTTTTCTCAGTATATTCACGTGAGTCAACCACGATTTTTAGTTAATAAATGTGTAGTGACATATCGGCAAATGACAGTTGTCACACACAGACTATCAACGACACACATTAACCAATGACTTCACAAATTATACAAAGCACATGTGAAGTGTATATGTGATTAACACGGCTAGAAAATCCGTTAGACAGAAAGCTCAGGAATGATCACATCGCCTGGTCGGAGGATCCTCCTTTTTCGATCATAGGGAACTTTACTCTCAAGTTTCCAAAAAATAATTAAGAGACAATATCTTTGTTAAGTGTTACAATATGGTTGAGTTGGGCGCTGCTGGTGTACGTGTCATATTCGTGAACGGGCGCCGTCAACTGGGACTGGTCAGCTCCAGACTGTATTATTGTCCATAAGGTTATTTTCTTTTTTGATCACTTTGACTGGACTTTAGTGTTACATTGTTCTCGTACAATCCAAACAGCAAAACTATGCAACTAGTAAATTGTATTGTGAACCTGATTGAAAAAGAGTAACCTATGGAATTTCTTGCTCGTTCTTCTCCATAGGAATCTACACTTTGGAATGAGCAAATAGCTTCACGTTTAATGTTTTTTTGTTGGTGTTCAAAAGTGCCATTCTGGCCTAATTGAAATAAATGATTTTGACTTTGACTTTGACTTTGAAGTAATGAACCTCTTTTGGCTGATGATGATGATGCCAATTCTTCGAAATATTGGGCAAAAGATTCTTAAAACACTTATTATCAGTTATGCATCGCATAGTAATATTATGATCATGGAATCATTCAATGCTGAACATAGATTTAGCCTTAAGTTTCCTGTACTCATATATGTATATATAATTAGCTATGATAACGACAAAAAGTGTGTGTAGTGTTCTATAAATAAATTTTGTTCGAATTTACAATTACTTACGGGCAGATCACAATGAACTTAAAATAAAATATATGGTAGTCCATAAAAACCTTCATTCGAAAATAAACATTGATATAAAACAATGAGGTGCATTTTCGAATAAAACGGGTGCGCCAAAATAATAGCATTAATGGCAATACTTGAATGTATTTGCGGCTGTGAGCTGTCAACGCCCGTCAATTTGGAGAACGGCCCGATATTTTTACCACGAACCACGGCAGGCAGGAACTACTTTTGTAACATTTCCTTTTTCTGTTTATAATATTATTTTGTAATATATATTTTATAGAATATTTTACTAAATGTATATATTTTTTTAAGCAGAAAATGTATAAAATATGTTTATCAAATTGTGGCGTACGAAATTACATTTGAATATCTTATAGTGCCGTTTTATTCAAGATCTATATAAAAGACGTGTATTTTCAGATCATTTACACTAATCTAAATAGTTCTTGTAGAATGTAAGACTAGAATATTTATGAGAGAAAAATTATTGTGAAAGTTCGCCAGGGATGAGGAAGAGTAGTTTTTATACGAGACCCGGACGAGCGGACGATGGTCGGAATTACTCAGCGATTTCTGAATACATACCTCTATTGTATTATATTTATTAAAATAGCATGAAAAATATTATTAAAAGTCTTACTACGAACCAATAATACTCGCTGGTTTCTAAAAAAAGGTTAATATATTTATTTTATTGAATTCATTGTAATGAGCGTAAGCATTATTTTGTACATAGAATTCATGTAATAAATTTATCGTTTTAAACATACATTGGTTAATATTTTAAAATATCAAGCATGAATAACTGAACATGAATATTTAATAATCTCAAAAGTCATATTGAAAGAAGATTATTTTTGTCGGAATGCTTGAAGTTTGGCGAAAGAGACGAATGAACTAGGTATAGTACCTATCTATTAATTTTTTTTTTCAATGTATTGTTTCTTACAATTGACTAGTGTAATTGGTTTTTTGTACAGTTCTATTCGTATAAATTAATTAATTAATTAATCACCAACATGACAACCTTCATTGTACAAAAAAGTATTATTCATTTCAATGGATAACGAGACACCAATGCACACTATAAAACCAACACATATTTACTCACACTACAGACCGTACACACTCATGTCCTCAAGAGGATACAGGCATAATAATTAAACTTTATTTATGTGTTTATTTTCCCTAATAAACTACCTTTGGGGTTGAAATTACGCAACAACCATGAGCTCTCAAGGGTAAAACAAAATAATATTACGCATAATAAAATAAATCTATAAAATTACCTGTTACGTTACGGTATTTATTTTTTTTTGTAATTCGTAAAATAATGAATAGTTTATTCAACCTGTTACTCGATAATTAGACTTGAACGGATAGTTTCGAAAGTTTGCTCCATTAATGGTTATGTAACGTAAAAATTAATCAGTTTGTAATGAAGTTATTTAGTAAAAAAAATGTCAAATGTTTTTGTATATAAGTTATGCATAATATTAAATAAAATAACAGTCGTTCTACGTATATATAACTAGTTACTTATTACTCACCGAAAATCACTTAACACATCACTAAAAATCACTCGTTTTTTTTTTCAAAATTTTACCACACTCACTTTGAATAAACACATATTTCTTCAACTTTTACAAATGTCACTTCACTGCATTTTTTACACTGCGCGCGAATCGTAATTCGGAGGAAAAGGCGTGCAAACCCTCCCGTTACGCGAAGCTGTCTACCCCCACCCTCGAAGGCTATGCATTGAACAGAACGCATGCGTCGTGAAAATATATTTCAGATCATCCAAGCCTCCGGTTTTACGTTTTCGTTTTCTTCTATAAAAAGCTATGCGTATTCAAAATACATTTAGATATAAAAATGTAGGTAAATATGTATTTTGTATAAATTATTCATTCATATTTTTGTATAAAATGTATTTTTAATTAAAAATCATTGTTTAATTTAAAATTTTGACGAATAATTGTTTTTTTTTGTATTGTAAACGTGAAAATTAAAAAAGGTTTTCAGCATATCCCGTTGATGGAAAGTCGTTTCCAGACTTCGAAATTACAGATGACCTTGAATTCAAGCGCCACGGTCAGCGTTGAGTGGTTTAATCGAGTATTTTATTTTTAAAGCTACAAAAGCGCTTATCGGTTTGTTGTACTGAATGAAAAGTGTGAAAATGGACTTATTTTTTTTTATTTTAATCTTGTTATTGGTGCAAACGGTGAGTAATTGAATCGATTAAGGTTTTATTGAGATTTTGTGTACTGTTATTTCTCTTTGGGTTTTCAAGCTTATTTGTATTTTATTCACATAACGTTACGGTTGGTTTTTGATGTAGATATGAATAGAGAAGTTTCTGATAGTATTAGTGATATGCATGCAATTCAGATTTGAGATTCTGAAGACTGACTGATCTATCAGTCAGCAACAGTCGGGTATATAAATTAATATTTTTAATTTAAATTTAATAGTAGGTACTTTCATTTTATTTACACTAGTAATCGTTACCCGACTTCAAAAAAGGCGGAGGTTTTAAACTCGAAATCAGTTTTGAAATCGAAAACCTCGTACCATTTGCAAAGTGACTGCACGGTTGGTGCGGTGGCTGGGCGACCGGCTGCCGTGCAACGTGTCGCGGGTTCGATTCCCGCACGGAACAACACTTTGTGTGATCCACTAATTGTTGTTCCGGGTCTGGGTGTCATTGTGTATGTGAACTTGTATGTTTGTAAACGCACCCACGACACAGGAGAAAATCCTAGTGTGGGGCAACGTTTTTATTAGAAAAAAAAAGTAAAAGAAAACAGAGACATACACATTATTTACAAAATTCTCAGCAACAGGACACAACAGATAAAAAAAATGTCAATTGTCTTTTAAAGGAAACGCATGACCCTCTTTAGCGTTGCTGTAGGTTAAAGAAAGAACTCCACCAGTGATATATGGAGCAGTTTATCACTCGAGCATGTTGGTAGGAAATGCTCTGGTCTTAAATTATGAGCATAAGTCTGCTTTTACATATTATTATAAGCAGGTCCTTGCGGTACTTTTCGGCTGGATTATTTGGGTGTAATTTATTCTGAATTACAGAGTTTATTTAAGTATCTATGTTCTCACAAAATCGAACCAATAAAACTATGTAACTAGAGAATTGTATTGTAAACCTGATTGAAAAAGAGTAACCTATGGAGTTTCTTGCTCGTTCTTCTCCATAGGAATCTACGCCTTGGAATGAGCAACTAGCTTCACTTATAAATTTTTGTTGTTTGACGTTCAAAAGTGCCATCCTGGTCTAATTGAAATAAATGATTTTGACTTTGACTATCCTTAGTTCAATAGTTGTGTTTGAATGATGAGTAAAGAGTCTTGGGTTAAGATTCATTGTCTCGTGTTATTATATGTATTTTTGTTATCATATGGCCCTTAATTTCAGAATAAAATAAGATTATAGTTTATACCTGTATTTAAATTAAGAAAATATTCAGAAAATTTTAAGATTCTTTCTAAG